GTAGTAGGCACAATCCGATTCACTTATGAGGTTGAAAATAAACAAGGTAAATTACCGATATTGGACCGCAAGATAAAACGAAGAACAGATGGTGGTTAGATTACTATCATCTACAGAAAACCGACACATTCTAGCAGGTATGTAGACTTCAGGTTATCTCATCCAATGTCACTTATGGCAGGTTTAGTCAAACGTCTGAATGACAGAACTGGAAAACTGACTAGTCAGTGCAAAGACCTAAACATGGAACTGATATACATAAAGAAGTGCTAACAATTAATAATTATCCTCTATGGGTTATTAAGAAATTTGTACAAACATACAAGAAACGAAATAACAACAGTAACACGAGTATGAATAATAACGACAACACGAGTAGAAAGGAGTTCACAGCCTCCGTTGTGTTACCCTGTAAGGAAGGAACATAAGAAACTTTAAGTAGGATCCTAAACAAAGCTGGAATTTATGTGACATTTAAGCTTACAAACTCAGAGATAAGCTTTGTTGACTTAAGGATCTGATAGAACCAACTAAGCAAAATAATCTAATCTATCAAACTCCATGTCATGACTGCAATGTCAAGTACATAGGTTAAACTAGTCGGTCAAGGTCAGTTAAAATATCCGAACATAGCTAAATATAGAATGATAGACCCCAATAGATCAACAATCTAAAAGGAACTGGGATATTCAAATTCATCCATTAGCGCAACCACATAATAGGGTTGGATGAAACCACTGTACTTAAGTCCAATATAATTAGGAGGGGAGAGAGAAAGAGGTTGATTACTGAATCCTTGTTCATCTAATCAACACCTAACACATGTAATAGGAATGATGCAACACCTATACCGGAGATATGGAAAATCTTATTACCATTAAAATCAAAGAATATGTAACAAGAGTATGGAAATTAGATGTCGAAAGTAGTGAGCTCACATCGATATGATTATGAGCAATAGTTTACGCTCGAAACGTCATCATCGAGTAAATAATACTGTATCACTGTGTGTTATAAATGGAATAAATAAGTCTAATATGGAATTACATTCTACCACAGTACCCAATTTTTACACTCATACTAAACACCACCAGCTAATTCTGATAGAAATTTGACTTGCTAATACTGAAATATACGGGTTTCATAGTAAATTTGTAAGAGATCCATTCGAATATTGATGTCACTGAGTTGGTAGTAACTAGGATGACACAAATACTTACTGCATTTTTTGGACAATGTAATTGTTCAACTGAAGTCTTTTCAGCAAGATCCTTTTCATAGACACCTTTGAAGATTTGATTAAAACAACAACAAAATTAGAGTATCATTAGTAAACATGAAAAAGCTTCAAGCCGTGTTAGGAACGAAATACTCTAAGATTCCATCTTTCGAAGCATCTGCTCTATTTTAGGGTGCCTAGAGGTGTAAACCGTTAGTCCAATTGTAGTATGAGGCTGGTGCCTTCACTTTTTTCGCCAAGTAGGTTACTAGTATACAATTGGTGGATTAGAACATGATAGCCTGCGCTTTCCATCTGTAGTCAATTACTTATTCAGGTTTATAGTGATCTTAAATTTAGTAGAGATAATAATTTCAAAAGGTTTCCTCCTTGCGTTTTGCTGAAGGAACTGAAGAAACTGGATTTTCTTTACCTCATAGACCTTGTCTCTATCATTTTTATATGTTTGTCCCTTAATGTGCATAAGTATCCACGTTTGTGTGTATATAAGTCTATACATTTTCTTCCGCGTTGGTTTCTATGTCAATTAGTTTGTTCCGAACTGCGCATATGTGCGTTTGCGTCACTCTCCCTTTTTTATGTCAACAGTGCAGTCTCTTTATTAACTCCTTTTTTTCGAGTGACTTTAAAGGCCACCCTAGTAACAACTGAAATAACCAATCAGACTTCTGTATTTTACGAAAATCTGCCTTTCCAGACGAAATGAAGAAACCTAACTGGTTATTACTACCGTTGCTAGGGTGGCCTTTGAAGTCGCCCTTTTTTCACTTCCAACTTTGATTTTCTTACCCTATTGACTTTTTAAAACATTTTTTTAGTATTCTTTCATTCTCAATCAAGTTTGTATATTTTACATCATTCAATCATCGACAATCACTAGCCAGTAAATCAATCACATTAAAAACTCAACTTGTTCAGTAAAGTTGTGAGTAGTTATAATAACAGCAACCGAAGCATATATGGTAGTAGACATAGTCGTTATTATTATTAGTAGTATTATTACTGTTGTGATGGTATCAGGCAGAAAAATGGAGCAGAAAGCAAGCAACAACTGATTGCATTGATGTGTTTGTTTGCTCTGTTGACACTACATCAATAGCAAGCGAAAGATAGCAGAAGGGTGTAAGGTTTTATTGCAGTTTTCACTTGAAACGCAGAGGGAGACAAAATGATAACTAAACAGTTCTTAGCATTTATTGCTTATCCATCTATCTATTCATATCTATTTACTGAACTACGCGTATGCATATAACAATATATTCAGTTACTGTTACAATTTGAACACAGATGATTCCTCGTTTTTATTACCACGGAAATCAAGTTAACACAAACAAAATTAGTAGACTGTTGAAGAAGAGAAGAATGGGATCATTGTAAAAAAAGTCTAAAATTAACACCAACCCACTGTAAAACAAAGTACTGACAATAGTCAGAAAAGGATATTTGCAAGCTAGCAACTGTCTACACCCTTGCTTGTAGTTGTCATCGAGAAATAACACAAAGTAATTTTTATCATCAAAGATTATGGATGACAGGTGACAGGTATTGATAAACTGAAAAACTACTGTTACTGATCACTAACATAACTGTGGTCACTTGAGGCACTGATAGTTTAACAAAATTTTTGCTAATCCATCTGTTGTTTATTTTACAAAGTTGGACAGAAATCATTGTAACAGAGAGGGCAATTTAAAGCATTATCAGATCACTACAATACTAACAATAAAGGGAATTTTCTTAAAAGCTGCTACAGTTTGATTCCCTATAGGTTAGATTAATCTTCTCAGTAGGACTGTTTTTAAGTGAAAACATATTAGCAACTCATTCATCTGTTGGTTAACACGTGAAGTAGTGAAAGGTACTGACCGAAAACTGTTCATGTCAATACCTTGAATTTTTGTCAAGACTATGATACTTCAGTCAACTCTACACCTTCCTGACGTTATCATTTGAATGAAACTAATCAGCAATTATCCATAAACTGATTTTTCTTACCTACCAAATCTAACCTAAATATATCTGTGAGATCTCTTGAATCCGGAGAAGAACTGAATAGCCATTGATTTGTAGTTTTGAGATCCTAGTTATTGTCCATTCCAGAAATAAGTCATAGTCATACCACCAACTTACTCGTTCTATATTTATAAACAGATATTGTGAAGAGAATCAAAGCAACTTCTTGCATAATAAGGTTTTCATACCACCTAAACTGACACCCAAAACAGACAAAGTCACCGTAGAACCTTGCACAGAAGTGCATCTATCCAAGTTACCACACTCTACACAAAGAAAAAGCGTATAAAAAAACAGATCTCAAAGTTAAATGAAAGAAGAAGGAATTTAAAAGTCATAGTGAAAATATCCAAGCTTTATAAGAAGTCAGAGAATGAATAAATCAGTGCTACTGTGACTACTTTTCAGTCATGTCACCAAAGTTCTACAACCATTGATTCCTAAGGTCTAGAGGACACTAACCAGGTAATCTATACCTCGGAACTTTCAAGAACTTCATGGACTGGTGAAACATCTTGGTCTGCCTATCCTTGGTTATCTTCCAATCCAATCCTACCTCAGTTAACAATACACATCGACGTAGGCGATGGCTGGACATGTATAACACGTGCCAAAGCCGCCTCAGTAGTTAAAAGTTCACAAACTTAATAATACAAAACCCAATGAAGGATGCGAGCCGACAGAATAAAAGAAAAAATCAAAAGGAACCATTTTCCCCACAAGTCAGAAATTGAATAAGGTGATTAATCGGTAAGCATATAAGGATACCATCAGAAAAGCACTGAAATGAGACTTAGGACATCGATAGTTTATGTCTATTTTCAAGCAAAATCACCAACCAGATGATCATCTGTTTTGTCTTATATAAAAGTTGATCATCTCTGCAAAAATTCGTTATGCTATCAAAGTGCCGGTAGCTTCAAGTATCTCTTATAAATACTTTGATATCCAAAACTTCAGTCTCAAGCGAACAGGTACTTCCTTAGTTCCGTTATTTGTAAGTAGCTGAGTTCGTTTCATAGTTGGCGCCAAAATTTTTAATTAAACCATCATGTATTTCTTGTTTTATTATTCAAACTGCAACTACTTGCTTAATGAATATCTCTTTACAACAGTATAATGTTAGAATTTTATGGAATTGAATAAACTAATTGAATAACTTCAAGATGGCATTATTGCATAAATTATAAGCCAGTGATAAGTAACTTAATACTGACTTACTCCCTTCATTTAGCATTGTTATGGTTCTGCAACTGTTTGCATTGTCAATACTCTTAAACTATTTCATTGTGATAATATTCAACAATGCGTTTCTCTGATGGTACCGCTAACTTAGAATATGCAGACGTTCTACTGAGTGTGGTGAAAGTTAACTTCCATTTCGACATAAGAAAACAATATTTTGAACCGAAAATGCATAAACTAGTTCCTTCATGACTACTTGACATTTTCTTCAATAGTTTATTCACAATTTCTTGACAAAAATAAAAGCAGAGAAGTGGAGAAAACATTTAGAAACCTACAGCCTGAATTAAAATTCAATGTGATCATAGCTGAACCAACAGAAAAGCTAACCGGTTATCCTTCCTTTGTCAAACCACCTGACGACAAGCAAATCATTTGTTTTGTGAAATACTTTCAATTTTTTGTATTATTTTGGTGGTTATTCACTTTTTTCACAGTGCTGAAAGTCTTTAAATTGAAGTGATTATCACTGTATCCATGAGTTTATTTTTTATTTGTACAGACAATTACAGCATCAAGAGGTCTTCCAAGCTCTGAGACTCGTTATGTGGCTGCTAGATATCTACAGGACTATTTTGATCCTCCACCTAGGCATTCTAGAAATTTTACTCTGGGTAGCTTTCATGTAAAATCTAATCGACCGGTAAGATCTGCCAATTCAAGTAGAATTCGACGTCAGACTATAACAACAGATGATGCATTCTCAGATGAAATGGATTCAGACATTATGTTTGATAATAAAGCTTTAGTTCTTGGCCAGGAATACAAAGTAAGTGACAAAAGATTTTGAGATGTTTTGTTGATCATTTAGAATAATGTCAACTGAGTATTATTAAGTTTTTGAAAAATCCTGTCAAGCACACAAACATAAATGGTGGATGACGTACAGCAGCAGAAACCAGGACATGCATTTCGTCCTGGACGGAACTCGTCAGCTGGATGCATCGACATTTCAGTGTATGATAGCGTACCCATTGAGATTTGAGCCAAACGCTCATTGCTCCAGACGCTGGAACATTATCCACTAGGCTACTGAGTCACAATAGCCACTCCTTATAAAATCAACGGATATTGAAATGAAATCACTGACTATATACATCAAGACATCTACACAGGATCCCACACGCCAACGTACATCGATCATTTCGTTTCAAACCAATCAACAACTAGCAATAACCAATTCTAATGTTTAATCACACATGCTGTTGAAATTTTAATTTGCCTTGTTGAAACAATTGGTTTACTGTCTAAAAACATGGTTAAAGTGATCTCCACTGACTGTAATGAACAGGTCACAATAAAGTCAAACTAGAAGTAGCGGAAAAAACTGTATAAGGAGATACGGAAATTAAGTAAAAATTATAACCAAAACTTCTGAATTTGTTAAGCTTGAAGCCGATCTGTATGTGGTAACTAGAGTATTCAATCCACGAGTCAATCGTCTTATTCACATATTGTAACCCACTGATTTAATGTGTACGCTGTTAATTACAGTCAAGGTATTCGCACCCCTTGGATATCATTCACCATTTTCGTAATAGTGCAGAAACATCTTTCGGAGATACCATAAATAAACCAATTTTTTTTGGTTTAGTTGATAAAATGAACTAAAAGAAGATAGTAAGTGCTGCTTTGAAGGTCATTTGACTGTAAATTTGGCAGCAGCAAATCAACTCGCTGCACTAAACTTGCTTACCTATAAAACCAACATTTGGGCGATTTCAAAGGGCACCCTAAAAACTGCTATAATAACCAATTAAGTTTCTTTATGAAATAAAGAAGTTTGATTGGTTATTTCAGTTGTTGCTACAATAAATGGCTTCTCTAAAGTCACTACAACATTCTGGGTTATTTCGTGCCCTACAGAAAACATTTCTCTTAGGTGCTCACTAAATACGTGTAAAGGCTTGTCTGAGTTGTTATACTTGACTTTAAAGGCCAGTCTAACAACTGCTGAGATGACCAATTAGGCTTGTATCTTTTGTGAAAAACTACCTTTGTAGCCCAAATACCGAAACCGATTTGGTTGATACATCAGTAGCCAGGGCAATCTTTTAAGTCGCTTGTTGTTATTGTCGAGTAGTTTTAAGAAGCGACTGTAGAGGCCACCCTAGAAACTGCGGAGATGATCAATTAGGCTTTGATATTTCGCCTGGAAAATTACTCTCCCACATAATAAAAGAATTTAATTGGTTGACCCATTAGTTGTTAAGGTGGATCTTAGAGACACCAGATTTTAAGGACCACCCTAGAAACGACTTAAATAACAAATCAGACTTCAAAATTTCAACTGGAAAGATACTTTTTCATAGAAGAGAGGAATATAAGTGGTGACCTTTAAAATCAATCTTATTCTCTCAGATTTTAGCAAATGACTAAATAATGTGTTTATGTTTAGAACTTTAAGTGAAAAACGTTTAAGAATACATTTGAAAAATTAGGGAAATTACTTTTTGTAGGTCATGGGACTGAAGCATGGTATTGTATTCCCGTTTAACAAGCCCAAGTGCATTTAAAATATTTTCAAAACATCCATGCTTTCATTTTAATAGGCATTTGTAAGAGCATGTGTATTCCAGGAGGATCAGTCAACTTCAGACGGACCAGAAGTATGTACATCATCTTCATGGTCTCATGGATTTGGACCGGATCGTCAACTTCCTCCATGGAGTGAAATGATGAATAAACATTTAATGGATGGTGAATTAAGAAGTAAAAATTCTATGGGTGTATCTGATAGTGTGAATACCAATTCATTGAGTTTTAGCCTTGCACGTGGTTTTACAGGATCGGGAAACGATATATTTATCATTGCTATTGTCGCGGCAATTGTTGGCTTAGCATTGATTGCTGTGATCTGCATTGCATTCGGATGTTTTATGCGGTAAGTAGATCTCATTTCTCCTTTTTCCTGCATGAAGCGTCTATCAGATTGTATTAAAAATTGATAGCAACATTCCTTGGTGTTTACACGATCCAGAAACTTAAATGAATCGGTTTGGTTAGGCACTGCACATTGTTTGACATCAAGTGATAACTCAAGTTTTATTCACAACAAAAATAGTATTTCTAACTTTAAAATAAATCATAGTGATTCCAACATCAAACTCATTGTTATATCAGTTTGACAATCTGAGATAGCCATGATTTAGTAGACTTTTATCGATAATGGGTGGTGATGATACTGAATGATACTCACCGGAAACTCGATGGTTGCTGGGTTGAATCCTACCATGGCCCAAATATTTATTTTCCCATTAATTATTACCCAGTAGTATCAATAATAGTCTGTCAAACCACGGTTATCTCAGACAGTCAAAAAGATAATCAATATGATGTTCTCCGTCTCGAATTCAGTTAGATTTGAATTGGAATGAGATGTACTGACTAGGGGCAGCCAGCATGAGTACGATCAAGCGGTGGTAACGCATCACGAATTCGCGTGGTACTCGGTCAAAACCCTTGGTGATTGAAGTGAAATAAAAATTTGTTCAACGACCTTAATTTTCATTTCACCTACAATCACCATCCAGTGTCACTCTTATATATCTGCCAAAGGTATGTGAGATGCCTTAGCTATGATTAGTTCATATTATATATATATATATTACTGGAAGTAGATAAGCTACAAATAACCAGTTTATGTGAATAAACTAACATTTATTAAAAAAAGGTTCTAAAACTTTTCAACCTTGTTGATCACTGATACAAGTGAATTCTTTAAGAATTATTCCAAACTGCCATCATTTCTGTTTATTTGACCTCATCTTCTATGACAGATGTTGACAATCTATTGTCATTTCTACAACTTACTAGATAACTTGTTTGAAAGAAGTTAATTACTTATGACATGATATTCAGGATCAAACATTTTAATACTCTCACCTATCATTGCTTGTTTTATCTTTCTTTAACCAGAGTTAAATGACCTGTAGCTATCTGTGTTACAGTGTAATTTGGGCAAGTTTTGTAGCAACTAAAATTTTCATTTGGCTCACCATCTTTTTTCATTAGGGAATAAACTGAGTTGGATCATATATGAAAATGTACTCTGTTTTCATGAGATTATTCTATCAAGGTTTAAGATTGAAAAAATACTAGTTTTTTTCATTTAGTCTAGTAAGGAACCAACTTTTTTGAAAATTGGTGTCAGCTAAGGAAAAGATTTTCAGTAAACCGCTTCATCTCAGATTTTTCTAACTTCTAAGTAGTTTACAACTTAATCTGCACATAAAGTTAGTTCTTGAGGGTGACCTGATGTTTCGCATTACATAAGCTATCCTTTTAAGAGCTCATTCACTGAAATTTTCTAAATTCGGTCAGTTTGCGGTACTATATTGATGTCACCTAAATACCATGTCTACAATGTAAACAACTCTGAACAATTATGGTCACATTCGGTTGGATTTGTCAGTACAATATGGAAAACGCAGCTATAAAGTGAACCCAAAATATAATTCATGAATTATAATCTGAATGTAAATTCTTGAGAAGCTGAATTATTTCAGGAATTTTTCTAGCCAATCTTTGACTTATGCCTCTGTTGCTTAGCAATCAACGTTTTCTTACACTCTGTAAAATGTAAATTAACTATGCTGCATATCTGAGATAATTTTTTCCGTTCTCTAGTATTCTGTCGCCTTCGTATCTATAGTTAGTTGAGTACAGTATTAATTATCACTTTCAAGTTACTTTCCAAAACTCTCTGGAAAGGTAAACTAAGCTGTAGAGTAAAGAAGATTTTTATCAGCAGTCATATAAGAGAATTTTTTTAAAAACTGACTAAAGTTAGTATTTTGTCTAATTTTCCCTGCAGACGTAGACGTCGTCCTAAACTCATCAATCATTTAACTCCAAATGATTCAACAATGAAGCAACCTCTGATGAGGATGAATGACTGTGGTCCAGCTAATGGTAACAGCTTTCCTATGATCTCAAGTGGAATGGAAGTGATGAATACTAACCTGGTTTCATCAGTTGATAAACGTGGCAGTTCGCTAACTGGGAATGACAGCTTACAAAGTGCAACACTTCTTGCCGCCTCTTCACCGGGACCACCACAGTCATCGTTAATCTCATCAATTTCAGCTACAGGTCGACCGAATCTGATAACATCAGCTACATCAAGTCCACTCACAGGAATCGCTCAGTTGGATCCAAGGCATCATCTCTCTCAGGTCCCATCCCCACTAATCGATATGTCTGTACACCATGGTTATCCTCTTGGTTTAACAAACGTTTCGACACCACCGACTATTCAACAACCTATAAATCCTTTCATATCCCACCGAGGAACTTCAAGCAGTCATACTGGTAGTCATCCAAGTTCACTGACTGGCAGTGGGACAGGCGCTACGCATAACATATTAGGAATAAACAATTACTTAGCAGAAAATAACAGTAATACAATGTGTGATGGCTTGGTAATAGCACGAAATGGATTGCCTGGTTCAGAGAGTGGACCAGAGTCAGCATTTGATCTGCAACATCTACCATTTGAAATGAAGGGTAAGTGAAGACAATTACTATTACACAATGTAGTAAGTATTTTGACTGAGTGATTCAGGTGATAATTTTGATTGCATAGAATTAAATAATTCTAATTAATAATTATTTGTAGTTTACTACTAATACCTGTTGTTTGCACGACTTTCAACGTTAAAGACAAAATATTCCACTGATTACCTGTCAGCAAAGTTAACGCTTACTTACTTCCGTTTAACGTAGATTTAAGAGTCATACTATGTCCTAAAAAAAATTATTTTACAATATCTAAATTTTTCTTGACCATTACACATCTGATATATTTTGTAAGAAAGGAATTGGAAAGAAGTAAAATTTCAACGGAATTATTCATTGTGAAGATAACTTTCTGACTACAATTTCCTTGAGGTTATCTAGAATATCAGGTGATTAACTGAACACTGGGCTGAAGGAATTCTTACAAACAAGAATATTTACTCAGCAATCAAAACTGATAGAAAAATCTGCAAATGGACATATATTAAATGACAGCCAGAAGAATGAACAGCTGATTGACTGGTCAGATTGTTCATGATGGAATAAGGCAGCTTTTTAATAATCAAAGTAAACGTGACTTAAAATTGTGATCATTGATCACCTTTGTTTAAAAGTATTCAAAGTTGATTAGATCATGACTGGATCTTAGTTTTCAGAAACTGGAACACGTGTGTAATCACTGTATCAGATCAAATACTTGTTGAGAATAGCATCAAAACATGACATATGACTAACAAATCCTCAAACTCGTAAAACAGTTATGCGAAAGGCTCATTAAACGTTCAGTCAGAGATGAGATCAGGGTAAAATTCCAGTTGTTTGCAATCCCTCATGAGAAAAAGTTGTTAATATGAAATTTCACTACAACTATCGTAACAGAAAATCTGTAAAATGCGACAGCTGCTATTGTTAGGAACATGCCTGACAGATGAGTAGCATCAAATGATATAAGAAATCCATTAATACGGAACAAACTTCTCAGAATCATGCAGGATGACTAAGTTTTGTTATACTTTGTTCAAATGTAAGACACATGTTCTGATTTCTGTACACACAATACTCCAAATTGCTGGAAAAAGTTATGCTAGGAGCCACACCTTGGTATGTTTTCATTGTAATTACTTATGAATCTTTATAAAGTAAATCCAATCTGAAATAAAGATGACAAACACTTTTTTTATGTTGTTTTTTTCAAAACGTTAACAACATTATTCACAGGTCACTCTATGCATCATCCAATTCCAGTTAATCTCTTACCAGATCATGTAGCACGACTTTCAGCAGCAGATAATTTGTTATTTTCACAAGAATATGAATCAATTGAAACTGAACAACAGTTTACGTGGGAGAATTCAAATCTCGATGTGAACAAACCAAAAAATCGTTATGCTAATGTTATTGCATACGATCATTCCAGAGTTGTACTACAGTCAATTGATTGTGTTCCCGGTTCTGATTATATTAATGCAAATTATATCGATGGGTACAGAAGAATGAATGCTTACATTGCCACTCAAGTATGTGATTCTAGTGAATTTACCCATTTTTGTAGTTACAATATATCAGTTTAGTTGGTGAACAACATCATGTAGATCTTGTCACGTAATATGACAATACTGTTAAGAATGTAATGATGGCTTATTGCTATTTGACGTCTTCAAAGTGAATTAGCTAGTCAATTCTTTTTAACTAATGCCATGATCGTCTGCTTACAAGTGTGTTTCAATAATCGCATTTTCTAATTGGACAGTAAAATACCATCCGAATGGATTTAGAGGTTGTGGAAGCACAGAAACGAAAAGCCCAATAAATTTGTTTTTTTGACTGGTCAAAAGTCAATGTGCAAAGAAGCTGACATTTATTCTTATAATGCTTTTATCATTTACTTGTTAGTGCATCTTTATGGATAATAACACCTGAAAAATTAGTGATTTTCAAGTTTTGAGACTGGTTATCTCTTCGATTCCGTTACTCTCTGTACCATTCATAATGTAATATAATTAAAAATTCACTTATACTACCTTTCTAAAAAAAATTAATGTACTTTTTAAAATCTAAATTCAACATAGTTCAGCACTGCCGCATCCAGAAAAATAAACCACAACCTATGTGACATGATGCTGAAGATTATTTCAACTAACAAACAACCAACTTGACACGATTGTAAGTAGGAGAGTTTAAGTAGCTGAGTTCGTTGAGAAACTAATTTATCCCATAGTTTATTTCATCAGCATATAGATCTTATCCTTTTCTGTTTCTTCATCTTGTGGTCCATATTTGGCTGATCTTTTTACAGTGTTTATCTAAATGAAACTAAATACTTCACTCTTTCATTGTGACCTAATGAGCAATACTGCTTTCAACCTTGATTGTCATAACAATCCGATAAAAATTTGCCATATAATCATGATAAATTTGTAAGAAAACCTAATTATTTATGCATTCATTAAGACTTTTGGCATATTTTAAATTATGGCATATGAAACCCATTTTGTGGTAACTACCAAATGAATGAGATTAAATTAGTCATCTTGATAAATAAAAAAAAAGGGTAGCCTGGAGAGTGTTTATAGTTAATGGAATTTCATGCTTCCATGTTTAATGTGATTGACAGTGTAAATTTTAAGTTTATCAGTGGAATTTTTTGTGTGCTGCATACACTTCTCATTCATCGACTAGATTGTCTAGCTTATTCACCTTTTTGAACGTATCTTAGTTATGGTTACAATTTTAAATGCGAATAACAGCTGTACATTGGACAACAGAACTTCCTAAAGAGTATCACATAAAATTGGATGTTCATTTTATGCATAGAAACACAATAATCTGATAAGCAAAATTTGGTATTTACAGTTTAGACAAGAGATGTTTCTGAATTGAAAGTACATGTTGTGTCAATTTACCTTCAGTTTTGTTAATCTGTAGCACTTTTTCCACATTTTATCAATTTATTTGAAAATAGATTCAGTCACGAAGTGATAATCACTCTAAATCACGTAGACCTCCGATTTTAACTATGCGGACCATCAATATCACCCGGTATTTGAATCCAGGGGCCAGTTAATTAAATCATTGGCTTTCACTTTCTCTGTTAATGTATTTCACTAAGAAACTATGAAACTTCTTATAAAACGTAATCGATTATGAGCTTGAATGGACACAGGCAAGCTTTATCCTCAACCTCGTTGTAACAATTAAAACAGAAAATGTTTTATTCTATGGTTGTTTTTATTGTCTACTAAGAAGTATATACTGATTATGGTCACGCACCTTTTAAAAAGAGGATATCTTTTCAACGGGTTCTAAGTAATCGAATACTTTGTAAATTCATGGTAAAAATCTTGAGTCATGCTATGCGTTGTTAGTCTAGTCTTTATCATAAATTTGCATTTTATCAAAACGTCAGAGTACACCTTCATTCAGTTTGGGGGTTTGTGGGGATTTATTGATTTCGATTTGCTATTCATCATGGACTGATATCATATGGAGGAACACCAGAAACCTAGAGGCACTGGACAGCTGTTTCGCGGTAGTATAGGACTCCTCAGCAGTGCGCACCCATGACTCGACCTCCAGGGATCGAACCCGGGAACTACATTGGTGACTAGCTTCGTAAGGTGATTCCTGTAGTTCTAATGAGAAGTCATGACCGGTGGGGTAAACCTGATGGATGTGAGGACAAATACTCAACTATGACATTGCATGATGGTCACGTTATGTTGTGAATTGACAAAAATTGGAAATATGGACCGTCGGACTCCGACTCCGTGGCTCAATGGTAACGTGGTCGCCGCGGAACCTGAAGGTCCTGAGTTTGGTCGCTGGATGGTGGGATTATGGGTGTGTACTGCTAAGGAGTCCCATACTAGGGGGAAACAGCTGTCCAGTGCACCGAGGTTTCCAGTGTTCCTCTGACTGATGTCAGTCCATGATATACGCCATCATCCACACAAAGTCGAAAATTATTACCATCAAGCTTATGAACATAATACACACTCTAAAAGGGAGTCGACTGGCGCATTGGATATCACAGTAAGCAGTGTGATTGGGTAAGTGGATAAAGTTTCAGTGGTTCGCTCTTGCCAGCAAATATAATGAGCATGCAAACTAATAATAGCGAGAAACTCATGTTTAAGTTAGCGGGCTATCAAGACACACTTTGAAATGACCAAAAAGCAGAAGAACTAATAGCCTTTGGGGAATCTAATGGGTAATTACCAAACCAAACAATTGTCAGCAGTGATCAAATTAACCCAGTCACTGTATGAATCAATGTTCATTTTATTATGGATATGAAAACCACTTGTAATTACCTTTATCTCACTGTATCATTTGTCAAAGTGAACTGTTTAACCAACTTCTTTTTTCATTTTTAAGCATCTTAACTTTCCACATTCTTTCTAAATATAAAAGGGTCCTACCCCAGAGACATTTTCCGATTTTTGGCGTATGATATGGGAACAACGTGTATCGATTATTGTCATGATGACAAAGTTGGAAGAACGATCTCGTGTTAAATGTGATCAATATTGGCCATCACGCGGTCCTGAATCATTTGCTGGTGGTCTTTTACTAGTCAAACCTGTAGATACTATCGAATTAGCTTACTATACAATACGAACATTTCATTTAACTGCTCGGGGAATTGAAGATGAATGCAGAGAAGTTAAACACTTTCAATTTACTGGTTGGCCTGATCATGGGGTACCTGAATATCCAATCCCACTGTTACTATTTATTCGACGTGTTCGAGCCACTTTGGCATCAAACACAAGCAGTATGTGTCAATCAAGTCATAACGTTGAACAGACACCAACTGTTGTTCACTGTTCTGCTGGTGTAGGAAGAACAGGTGAGTCAATTCAGTGCCTTTTCATTAGATGTTAATTACAGTTTCAGAGAAATTTAACAACACCCTAATGGAATCAACCCAACGTTTTACCATTTAAGTAAAGGTTTAAGCTATTTTGAACGGTTTAAATAAGGATAAATCGCTTCTTTCCCGCATTTTCATTTGTTCATTTTCGACTGAGGTAAGAAGTAACCCTAAACCATAGTGACCAAAGAAATAAGTTTTCGTCATTCAAAGAGAAAACAGACAAACTAATCACTGATTTTGGTGAAGATGAATGAGATTTACCTAACCGTCACCTTTTACAGCACATTCTACGATGCATTGAGTCGATATCGATAGAGTATGTGAGTCGACTTTTCAGAAGCGAACAATTTTTACCTGATATTCAATCTTCATGCCTACCCACCTCACAGGTATTGATATTTTTGAATGATACTTGTGATAGTGTGTATGCCTGTGTGTTCTTTATTAGTTTACTTGAGTCAAACAAGGATAGAATTGAATAAAATTAGAATAAAAAAAGGAACATATATGTCACTTAAAAAGATAGTTTTGTGTGTGTGCAAGTGCGTATGTACACACATAATAATACCTACGCAAAAGTACCAGAGAGAGATAGAGGGTATGTGTGTTCCGTGTAGAAAAAACAACGTATAGCTAACACAGATAAGAATACAATGAAGAATAAAGTTTTTGCTTGTTATCTGTACGATTAACACAGAAGAAAAATAATGATCTGGTTGCCCTCACGGGACATCATGATGGTAACAGTAATAATAATAACACAAGAAACAAACTTTTACGAGTACTGTTTATTCAATACAGAAACAGAAGGGAAATAGTAGAGTAAGGAAGGAAATAAGAAAATAGGCAAATAGAGTCTAGATGGAGTAAGATATCGATTGAATACTGCTTCTGCCCCATATTATCTGTCTCTGTTTCTATCCCTTCTACTAAATATAAAGTCTTTTGTATTCTCACCATAATGTAATTCGATTCAGTCTTCAGATAGAAGACTATTAGCCTGTATCAATCTTTCAATTAGTTATCTCTTCGATAAGTCAGTTTTTACTTGAATGTATTCACAGAGGGTGCTGTTATGTTTTGTTCCGCCAACAATTTCTAGTCATTAACCACCCTATAGGGGAACCAATACTCCACTTCAAGATGATTCTATCGCAGCTATTGAATTTTTTCCTAGAAAATTCTAAGGTGATTAGTTCTAAAGGAAGTAAAGAGATTAGATAAATCATAATGTTAGTTGTCATTCAAGATACGAAAGGCTGAAATTAGATCACTTCTATTCTTAAGACAAAATAAAGGAAAATGGTTTAGCCTTACTAATCATTCTTGGTAGGGAAGGTAGCCAAGACTTATTATTAGTTTAATGATAACCTTTGGAACCTGTTCTTATGTATCATCTTCGTTTTATAAGCACGGACTAGTGGCCTGCACAAAACGCTCAAAGTGAGGCCTTACATGAATAGCGTAAAAAATCGGAAACATATTTTCATTAAAGCATTTGATTGTTCTGCGAAGTGGTCAAAACCCACGAAAAGTTTTGGCTTCAAAAAGCAATACACCCTGTAGTTGTCCTTAGGTCATGAATTATTACAACTTCGTAGTCGTTTTGTTCCAGTACACTGGGCATTTGTAGGCCGTTCATTATGCATCCACTAGAGCAACCACTTCCAATGTGTAATACAGTATTTTTACTGGAGCTGATTTCCAGTACCCATCGTTTAGACCACTCAGTCAGTTCATCAGCGTCATTTTGAGGTACAGAAGTGTCATCATTATGAATGACGCTTCATACCTGGACGTTATCAGCAAATAGCAGTTATGATGACTTAGGTTTCTTTGGTATTTCGTTAACTTAAAACGGAAAGAGTACCAGCCCAAGAACAGTCACCTGAGAAAGACCACCGTTGACAGATTTCTATTTAAACAGTATTCTATTCAATCCTACTGTTGACCTTCTATCGTGTCAGTACTACCTAATCTACACTTGAACCCTTTCGTCAATATCAAGTTTATGAAGCTTTTTCATCAAACCTGTATGTGACAGATTATCAGAAGCTTGGATAAATTCAATGAACACTGCATCAGAGAGTTTATTTCCCCAGCCTCAACCAAGTTCTCCTTCACTAAGAGTAGGTTTGTCAAACTAGAGCTTCCAACCTGGACAAACTGTTACTACCTTATGAGTATATTATGTATTTCTAAATGCTTTAATATCCGACTACTTAGTACATTCTCCATTATCCTAGCCGCTTTACCAATCAAACTAACAGGTCTACAGTTAGTAATTAGTTATCTATTACCTCACTTAAATATAAGACTAATTATATCATCTTCTCAAACCCTAGGAAGCTGTGGATAATATGAGGAAACGTTAAATAACATACTTAAGGCTGCATCAGCAATAACAGTATCCTATGGTCCATTCCATCCGGGCCGGTAACCTCTAGGCTTTAGGTTTTGAAGTTCGAGGACCGTCTCCTTCGGGATTTGAAAGCATTCTACTATCTGTTTATCAGTAACAGTAACAATGTCTACAGTCCATCAGAACTATCAGCAGAAAACACTGGCTTAAAACAGTTAAATACACTTTCCGATTCAACTACATCCGATTCCTCTACGTCTCCCGCTTCACCATGGAGTACTAAAACTGAGATCTCATTCCTACTTGTCTTCCTCTAAATGTATGAAAAAAGGTGGTTGAGAGAGCTCAAACAACCATTCACTAATAACATGTCGTATCCCATACAACATACATTGATAACACGTTTACGCTTATACCTAAATTTACAATATTCCCGTCTAACTGTTTCATTGCCTTTTCCGTGAATAAGTTCCATAAGCGTTTTCTCCGTTTTAGTAATCTTTAGTTTGTTTGTCAATCGAAAATGGAATATTAGAAGGTCTTCGAGGAATAGACCAAGAAATAAACGGTCCTGTTGTACACTCAAAAATATTCCTAAACTTTCCCCAAGACTTCTCCAGTGAGCAACCTACATCAGTCGAGACGGCAACATCCATAAGCTTTGACAAGCATGCACACCAAATATTTGGGAGGAAAGGAACTGAGTCATAAGTCAAATCTGGTGTTCTAAACTTAAAATAATTATAACATAATCACTACTATCCAATGGCTTTAAGTATTTTAGGTTAGCTTCGTCGTCGCATTAATTTTTGACATCTAAATTCAAAACTGATGGCCTATGAACTTGACACTCTAAACGAGTACGCACCATAAAGCAGTCATCGGTAGATTATTAATAAAGCATCTGTCTCGCTCAGTGATCCTAAACTGTTGCCAGTTAACATAAGGTGCACTAAGGTCCCCTACAACTCGGTATCTGTTGCTCATACCTCAATTTCTAAGGTAATTTAACACGGAGTAATAGACAGAGCAATGTAAACCATGGTAAATCACTTTCATTTTCAAAACACTTTTCTTAGACATGGTT